AAAGTACTACAAATCAGTTTCTCATAAACTAGTAAAAACAGGTCAGCGCCAAAGCAGGAAAAAATCGTTGTGGGTTCCAACATGCGGGTAAAATCTGGCTGTTAGTACTGCTGTCAACATAAAAATGCAATGAACCAAAAGTAAAAAGCATTTCATAATCTGTCAAGCTACGCTCTTTTTAGAAAATGCCTCAAGAAACAGTCCTTACAGACTGAATGTGAACCTGACATCACACAGGTCAGAACGCATAAAGTTTGGAGTTAGTTTCAGGGAGATAAATCATCTCAAATAAATTCACCGTGGCAAGAATTATGGGATTTTCTAAAGAACCCCTTTAAAATATTAATGCAAATTATATAAATCAAATGGGTATCGCATTACCTAAAGATTTTTAGTTCGAAAAAAAGCACATAGCTTTACAGCTCAATTTTACACAACACAAACAAATAGTTTGCATCACTGCATTTGTTAGAGGGATCAAACTTAAAAAAAAAAAAACTTTCTTTGTTATCAAAACTTTAGAATTGCAACACACACCAGTAAACTTACAAAAATGTCTTCAGGTCGGACCGTGTGCATCACAGCATTACGTGTGCTAGAACAGTGTGCGATAACCTTCGGAGTGCAAAACGTGAAGTGCAAGAAGATAGTGGTGAGAGGGCAGAGAAGGAATAAAACAGGTACACAGCCTGGCTTAGCAGTAGGAAATTTAAAAAGAAAATTTCAGTTTAAATTATCTGGGAAGAAGGCTCGCAAGGCAGGAACGGCAACAGTGAACGACAGTGCAGGAATAATGGAACGGCACCCATGAACCACTCAGGGGCTGCCACAACAAATTTCACATTTTTCAGGTGCTGGAACATTTGTAAAACTGACTGAAGATGATTTCCAAATAAATCAAAAACAGCAAAGCTTCCTTGCTCCTGGACTTATTGTTGATGCATCAGAAAAAGCTACCAATTTTAAAAGCAGTTATATTCTCAGTAAAGATATCCCACAAAATTTCTGCAGCGCGTGGATAATCCTTAAGATCCCGAATTATGTAAGTGGGTAAAATTGTTCGGCAAAATTTGCATGCACCTCAGTTTTGCCGCGCGTTATTCTAGAAACGCATCTATTATTTTTATATGAAAAGAAGTAACGGAGTATTGGTGTGGCCTGTACGGTATATTATCAAGGCGCTGTATGTCAGAGAAAAGATTTGCGCTGGTTTTGTGGAAAGAATGAACAACGGACTGACAGACTGACAAGACAGATTGCTGAATGACACCCGATCAATGTTAAAAGAAAAGACCTTCATGGCGCTAAAAAAATCGGATGAAAAGGCTCAAAATAAAAGAAAACGAAGAAGCTGCGAGCTGAAAAAAAGGCGAGACGAAACGCGACAACGAAACAACAACGGCTCAAAGCACTATCCATCAGTTTTATGAGACTTTTGTAAATTTATTATGAATTATGTAGATGCAATATATGAAAGTGCAGATAAGCCGAGATTTGGGTCTTTGCACAGGAATCTAAGCACTTTATCAAATGCTGAAAAAAAAAAATACCTTGCAAAAGGGATAGCTCGATCGCGGCACTGCAAGCCAACAGCAACACCAACAAGATTTTGCTCCGCGATGAAGCACTCGATAAACTGGTCGGGATGTTTCCCTAACAGCTTTTCACTAAATGTTGAATTTTTGGTATCGCCATCTAAGCCAATGATACGCGAACACACATCGCCCAGTTTTGCCAGAGCTGTTCCATATGCCATACGTGTTGCCACCTATACTACCAAAATAACAGACAATGAAAAGAAAAAATAAAAATAATTGGCCAACGCACGGGCTGCCCGTGCGAAGATGCGTTTTTTGCATAGTTTCCCGCAGTTTTTGTCGCTACCGGCACCGGTATTTTCGGCAAATGCTTCTAGCTATACAAATTAAGACTGGCTGCCAGAACTGTCGGGAAATATCCCCTTAAAATTTCAGCTTTCTAGCATTTCCTGACTCCTGAGTTAGCAACTTACTGGAAGAAAACTTTCACGGACCCGTGCGTGAGTACCACGCATACCCGGGGGCTGAGTTTGAGCTTATTAATACCTACTTGGACGGGGAACATTCCCGTATGACTTCAGCATTCCAGCATCTCAGATCTCCGAGTTATGAACTTACCTGAAAAAATTTTGCCGGGCTCGTACGTGGGTACCACGCTTACCCGGTGGCTGGGTTTGAGTTTTTTTTACCTACTTGAACGGTGAACATCCCCTTAAAATTTCAGCCCCCAAACACTTCTGATCCCCGAGTTAGCAGCTTACCTGTAAAAAATTTTGGGGAGCTCTTACGTGGGTACCACGCGGGTAATGGCGCCCTTTTGGAGAATGGGGCCAGTACGTGCCTGTGGATTAAGTTCCCAAATTTTTAGCCCTGTAGCTTTTGTAGGTTTTGAGATGAATAAGCGTAACAGACGAACATACGGACACACAGACACACACATACAGAGAAGCAACCCCTCGTCAATATGCGTTTTCTGCATTGCATAGCTGCAAAAAAAAGCATAAAAACCACAATTACACCATCAGCCTCGTCTGAACGAGCAGTGCCTAGTCATTAGTGCTAATGAAATGC